GTTGTCACCTTCTCACCAAGCTGCTTGGCAATGGTCTTGTAGCCCATTCCAGCCTTGCGTAGGTCTACAATCTTGTCCCTGCCATCCTTGGAGAGCTCTTTGGTCTTGGCCATAGTGGAGAGTTTGGAATCTGATTGACTGATTGCTTCTGTGGACAGGTGTCTTTTATACAAGTAACAAGCTGAGATTAGGAGCACTCCCTTTAAGAGTGTGCTCCTAATCTCAGCTCGTTACCTGTATAAGACACCTGGGAGCCAGAAATCTTTCTGATTGAGAGGGGGTCAAATACTTATTTCCCTCATTAAAATGCAAATCAATTTATTACGTTTTTCTGGATATTTTTGTTGTTATTCTGCCTCTCACTGTTCAAATAAACCTACCATTAAAATGATAGACTGATCATTTCTTTGTCAGAGGGCAAATGTACAAAATCAGCAGGGGATCAAATACTTTTTTCCCCTCACTGTACAATCACACAACTCCAAACCCCTTGTGGCTGTGATCACGTGCAAACAGATGTAATTACAACGACAAAAGGGACCAGATGTAAGTTTTATCAATTCACAATTTGACTCCACCGACTGTGAACGCGTTTGAATTGGTGAGACCGGTGTGCGTAGCAGCTTCCATGGGAGGTCACTCCTTCTTGCCTTCTGCTCCCTCTGCCTTGAATTCTCTTCTCACCCCCCCCCCCCCCAAACTTCGTGCAGCTGAGATTGCTGCTGCCCTCGTTCAAGTCCAGACCTTAAGACTGCATTCGTTTTCACGTTGAGAGCCCAAATGTTGTTTATTTCTCTCTCTCTCTGCTCTGCGAAGCGTCTGGAGACGTGACTGTGTTTACACGCCGCTATATAAATCGTGTTGTAACACTGTGGTGCATGCATACAACTCGAAACCAAGAAATCGCCTGTTTGGTGACCGCACGGATGCTGTGGTTCTGTCTGCAAATTAGTATTCTTGCAAGGACATTTAAGAATACGCATTCTCAAACAAAACGACCCAGTGTAGTAATACTGTACGATTACAACTCAATCCAATACGATGCATTAATCCGCAGGATAAGCCCAGATCTCTGTAAATTCTGTCCGTAGCACAGTGATCCCTTCAAGACAGTAGTGTTGTGTACAGTGCACATGTGTGCCTAGTATTTGGTGGGGTTTTTTTTACCGTATAACTTCAAACATTTGCAGTGAAACTGACGCAAAGTTGTCGCCCGTCCATCCCGAACCCAGTGCGGATTGTCACATGACGGACACGTGTTGCTCATGACACATTTTGGAAAAAAGCGGTGTTTTCGCCGTATGATGTGGTCACTCACGAGCAAGAATGTGCCAGAGTTTGCAGACGCAAAAGTCCCAGCTTGGAAAGGGCTGACGGAGGAGCGGGGGATCTTGGTCGTGCGGAGGGAAACCGTGAGATTTCATAGACAGGGCCTGGCTGGCCATGAATTTCAAGAGTTTAACGACAATGTGTGTCGTACGCCCTCCTCCACCCGACGCAGCCAACGAAATAAAGATGCCACGCGATCAAACACGCCAATCTTCCCTATAGCTGCAGCACTCCGGTGTGTCGGGGAGAAAGGAACATGCCTATCTACCCTTACCAAGTTTTAAATATACCTAGAAGCTTCCAGGCACAAATAATGCATTGAATTCGCAATGTGGCTATGTGGGTGTAGAGTCGTTTGGTTTCCACAACCTGTGATTACCAAAGGAAAACGGACATATCCAGGTAAAAACTAACGACAGTAGTCCCTCGGTTAACAGTGACATCGGTTAACGGTTTTTCAGTTAACGTTTCGCCTCCCATAGGATCCCATGGTTTCTATGAACGTTAAAATTCTGACGAACGCTAGTGTTTATGTTATGCACGCGGGCGCCAATTTCGGTCAATCGAGCGCTAGTAACTGGAGCTGAGCCATGCCCTCAGCCAATCAGCGACCCCCATTTATGAGCGTTCAGACCTGGACTTTGTTAACATTGCGTTTTCTGTTTTGGCGGTGGAAATATCTCTTGCAGACTCAGCGATTTTTACTTATTTTTCTACTTACATGTGAACTAACAGTAATTTCAATGGCCCCTCGAGTGAATTGGCAAAACGGAAAAGATAAGTAGGAAAGTAATTCGCCTTAAAACGAAGCAAGACATTATTGATTAGCATGAAAATGGGGTTAAAACCTATTTCATCAGAAAGAGCCCCAGATTAGACATCTTGAGCCAGCACTTTTTAACTTCCAGAGGTTCCAATGGAAGGAGACTCTCCTTCCAAAAATGCATTTTCTCCTACCTCAACTTCTCCATCAAACCCATTAAGCCAGCCATCTTCTTCGCCTTAGGCAATACAGTTTTATGCTCTATTTATTCATTATTTAACTATGTTTCTATTCGTATCAATCCTTTAATATGTTCTCACGTTGATTTGTTAATATTGAGCGTTTAAATTTTATATGCTATGCTTTCAAAAAGGTCAACTTTCGAACATCTTGAAACGAAATAATGCTTTTAACGTGTAATTTCTATATTCGATTTACAGTTATTTTGGTTAAAAGTAGTTTTCATGGAACGGATTAAAACCCTTAACCAAGGGACTACTGTACTATTGTTATAATACCAAGTAAGGCCTATTGAGCTATGTAGCTATTTTCCAGAAGCGACCTGGCCACAAATGGTAACGCGACGAAGTGGCTTATCACGTGGAAATGTATGGCAGCCAAATTACTCTAAACGCATCTTGATCCTAAATGTGGAGGGTAAAAAACTGTCCTGGAGAAAAATCCACTCGACGACAGGAAGAACAAATATACAGGCACCAGGGTGGGATTGAACCCACGACCTCCTGCATACCAGCAGAGGTAGTTAACATCTCGCCACCATAGCGCCCCAGGCAACATCCAGCCTGTGCATGGCATAATAATACGTAGGCCGATGGCGTAATGAACCCAGCTCAATTCCCGGCAGCAGCAGCCAGTGTATGTGTGTGTTGAACTTCTTTGGCACGGTACGTAGCCAACTGCGCCAATCGAAGGTTTGGGGGGAGGACAACCAACTAAACACCAAATCAGTTCAAAAGAAATTAATTTTCAATCTAGATTTAAAAGTGCATAGCTCCAGTGGATTTCTAATATCGCAAGGAAAAAGCGTTCCAGACGGCCGCAGAAGTGCATCTGAAAGCTCACGACGCGGTGAAGACTGACATCGCCAGCGTGAGTGACGAGTGACATCACCATTGTGAGTGACGAGTGACATCACTAGCGTGAGTGACATCGCCAGCGTGAGTGACATCACCAGCGTGAGTGACGAGTGACATCGCTAGCGTGAGTGACATCACCATTGTGAGAGACATCGCCAGCGTGAGTGACATCGCCAGCGTGAGTGACATCGCTAGCGTGAGTGACATCACCATTGTGAGTGACATCGCTAGCGTGAGTGACGAGTGACATCACCAGCGTGAGTGACGAGTGACATCGCCAACGTGAGTGACATCACCATTGTGAGTGACGAGTGACATCGCTAGTGTGAGCGACATCGCCAGCGTGAGCGACATCGCCAGCACGAGCGACCACTTCGCCAGTCTGCACCGACCAGCGTAGCTACCCGGTTCGGTCAAACAGCCCGCATGAAAAAACGCGGCGTGGGGAGGTCTTCATAAAGGGCTGCAAAAAGATCACTTGATGTTGCTATACCAGGACAATCGAGTCCAGGGCAAAGGGCTGCTAAGCATCTGGTTTGCAGCGCCACATGCAGCTATGTGGTGTGGCAGTAAACACTTTTTTAGACGCCCTCGCCATCCTGCCATGCCTCGGGCCCCGTCTACCCGAGTGAGCCAGGTGCTGCCTGTGGCATAGCGACACTCATTCAAGCACGCGGGCACAAGCTCGATTCACGCACGCTGGCTCACCTCTCCAACACAATGGCCACTCCACTTACAATAATAACATTCAGTCTGGCCCAAAGGCACCCACCCGCGCGCGCCACTCCACGCAAATAACGCGGCCGAAAGATTTTGTTTAAATGCCCGCTCGGTTTCCTACAGCCCCCCCCCCACCACCTTCCCGTAATGAGCACGGACGTGCAGGCGGAACTAGATTTAATCTCAGTTTAGCGTCTCGAGTCGTCGCTATTCAGATGACGCGCGACTAGTGAATACTTGCACGAGTGCAGGCCGGAGGGCATGTGCTGTGATGCTCTGTGTGCCTGTGCACCTATCTCGTGCGCCCATCTGTTCACACAAACCGGCAGCGTCAGAATGCAGCTTTCGCCACGTTTTGTTGGCTGCGTTTCACGTGCATTTACATAGATACATTAATAAATATATACGCATATACAGGGGTGGCCCAAAAGTCAGGACACTTTGAGTTATTTCATGAATTTTAACACTGGTATGAACACATTGCAATTAAGTTAATATTGTATCTAGTATTATTATTATTATTCACAATATTGGTATTGTTCTTGTGGGGTCGCCTCAATTCCGTCATTTACAAAACTCGTCAAAGAGAATGTATGCGTTGTGCATCTATGTCAATGGAAGTCAGTTTTAACATTTGTTAAAATAAATGAAATCATGCAATGTGATCTGTTGAAATATAATAACCCTACATGTCCTGACTTTTGGGCCACCCTGTATATATAAACATCAAACAGCTGAAATTAACGATGCTGCAAGAACTGATACATCGGAATGCCATTGCTTCTATTGATACTACTTGCTGCAGATGACGATGATGAAACAATTTCACCCCACGAGGGTCCAGTATTTGATTGTTTGGCCAATTCCATTGTAACAAGTCGCCAACCGTGCTAATCGGAGGTGCGGAGAGGGGGGGGGGGACAAAAAAAACTACTGCACAACAAAAATCAGTTCTAAAGAAATGAGTGTTCAATCTAGATGATTTAAAAGTGGCTTCCGAATATCGGAAGAGCACTCCAAACGGCCGCAGAAGCGCGACTGAAAGTGCGCGTGATGCTGCGACGGGACGCACATGGGGTTCGTGTACTCACGTGCGGAACTGCCATTTCGTCACCGTGGTGTTTCGCTTCACGAGTTTACATTATCACGCCGGACCCTATTAGCACGGTCGGCTACGTACGGTGCGAAAGAAGTTCAGCGTACGCACGTACGTACGAATGCACATCCACCGACCATCGCTCGCTGCTCTCTCTGGCAGCTCGCTCGCTCGCTCTGCGTGCAGTCCACCACCCCCCCCATCCCTTGCTCCGCCGCGCGTGATTCGTTTGCCATGTGGTGGGCGGATGCGAATTGGACCGCCGTCAGAAGGGCTTGAAGGGGGATGCGGCGGAGGATGGCCGTGGAATGGGGAGGTGGACCGCTTTAGAGAGATCGGCCCGCGTGGCGAGGAGCGAGACGAGCCGTGGTACCGCGGGACCGTGAGGGATAGTGACGGCGCAGTGGCGAGGGCCAAGGCTGATGATGGTCAGGAAAATTAACCTGATGATGAAAGGTGAACGCAGACATGATGCGTTTGTTGTTTTTGCCACTATCCGTCATCTCTCGTCACCCGACACAGCGCACTTACGACTATGGCACCGCACGTCTTCCGTATTTTCCCATCATCCACAACATTTTCCTGCATTAAGGGGAATTGTCCTGTCGTCTGCGCAAATAAGTTTACAGAACTGTGGTGCTGGTGGGCAGCCATGGAATGTGCTATTCTACAAACGTTCCCTTGAATGGGCTCTCACCTGAATATTAAGGTCTACTTATCCACGAGAAACACAAATGCCACACACCACTCCAGTTTCCTCTCAGACTCCATTAGTGCTACGCACAACACAGACACTCACCGCGATGTGCGTAGCACGCCAAGTCGTACTCTGAGCACAAATGCAATTCTTTCGCTTCTCCACTCAGGATCCATTCTTTACAGAGGGAAACGCAACCAAGCCGCTCAACTCCCCTTACCCGATGGTTCCTGTGATACCTGAATCGTCCCATTATCCATGGATCATGTCCCGTGCCAGCATCCTCGGCGACGAGGAAGGGTGCAAATGGATAAGGGGAAAACTTTCCCCGTGTTCGTTTCTGATCTCTTCTTCCTGGCGTGCTCTCCGCTCGAGAGTCCAAGGCCTTCCGACGTGGGGACTCGACTCAACCATGGCTCGCAGTGAGAGGATTTCCCGCCCCTTCTTCTCTGCTGTCTGCGTCGCTTGGAATTATCCGCCTCCAGCCCAGGTGTGCTATTATTACTACGAGGTAAGGCCCACTGAGCTGTATAGCTCTTTTTCAGAAGCGACCTGGCCATCGCAAATGATAGCTCGACAAAGGGGCTTGTCACGCGGAAATGTATGGCAGCAACGATGCTCTCAACGCGTAATGCTGATTCTAAATTTGGAGTGAAAAAAACCACGCGGCCACAGGTAGAGAAACACACAAACTCCAAATATACAACAGGAGTCAGGGTAGGGATCGAACCCACTACCTCTTCCATACCAGGCGAGGCAGATAACATCTCGCCACCGCGGCACCCTTGACTCCCTGTCCCTCTACTCAAGCACAGGGTTAAGACGTTTCCTCTTCCCTAACGCCAATGGCTCATCCCATCTCGTAACATACGCACGCTTACTCCTCCTCGTTCCCCACGATGAACAGGTCTCGTGGCTTTGTACACGGCATGGAGGTGGAGTTGCATTTGGACCCCATGCAACAACCATTGTTGTCCCCAACCCGCGCACCTCCGATTAGCACGACTGGGCAAGAAGATCAACATACATACATACATGCGATCCAAAGTTAACATGCATTAACGGCTACAGATCAAACGTATTCACATTAGACATTGTTATTCTATCAGTAGGAATAACAATACACCACTTGGGGCAGTTTAGCATTACCTTCAACAAATATACAGTACATTGGTTTCTTGTCAAGTAAGCGCCAGTTTAATTCGAGTAAGCTCAAACTTCAATATGTATCCAGCCGTCACGATTCCGAAGCTAACAAGCTTTACATCTGTGCGCAGCCATTCGCAACGCGCCTGCACGTGAGTGTGCGTGGGGAGCGGTGGCGCAGTGGTTAACGGACTGCGCGATGAACACCAGCGAAGCGAGTTCGAATCTGTGGCCTCCCCCAGGTCGATTCAGCTTCAAACGAGTCACTGGGAAGACAACGGAGGCCAGCTATGGTGCTGGCCACCCACCCCCTCATGTGCCGTGCCAGCCTTCATAGGATCAATTTTAATGTGCAATTTCATTGAAGGACTGTGTATTTTCTTGGTGTGGTCTGGGACTGTTCTTGGTGTTGTTTTTCTGCCTTGCCCAAGCTTGGGAATTGGTGCACTTATGCCGTTTGGACTGATATACTTAATCTATTTAACATATGAATTTGTATTGATTTGCTAACCTTTCCTATACTTTGCACTGCAATCGGGGTTTTTTGCATTATTTGTTGTTGTAACTTTCTGACTTGCCCAAACTGGATATCTATGAAAAAGAGCTTCACATCTCATAAGATTTCTCCAGGATATATAAAGATTCTCATTCTGATAGGTGCTCGCTAATAGCACTTGTCCCAAAAGGTCTTTCAAGGCTATACGAGGCATCTTTGTATTTGTGTCAAATAGCTCGCAAATAGCTTGGGCTGTCATTTGACTCCTGCTGGGCAAAGGCAGCCCCCTCTGTCTGTGGTGAATCTGCTGCAAGTGGCTGGCCCATGAGCAGAGTTAAAGGTCTGCCTCGTTTCTCCCACTGCTGCCATCAGCCACCACAACTTGTATCGATTACCAAGGTTATAAACAACACTGCGTCTTCATCGTACACCGTCACGTGAATGCTCACCACTGTTACCTTACGAGCAGCTTCTTTCGTACGGCCTATTTTGAGCATTTATAAGAGACACCTTGTTTAACCGAATTAGTGATTCAATTTACACAACAGGCGACGTTTCGGGCAATGGACTTTCTTCATGGCACAAAGCACATCTTTCTCTTATAAAGTATGTCCACTGCCCAAAACATTTCCTATTTTATTTATACAGTAAACCCTTGTTAATTCGACACATGGGGCTCTAGCCTTGCCGAATTATCAAATATTCCGAATTATGTACAATGGGACTCCCCAGTGCATCCTGCCCCAATATATTTTTTTTTCCCCAAACTCTTCACACACAATACACGCATTGACACACCTGCATCCATTCCATCCAAAACATTGCATTTGTCTCGCAGACTAAGGGATTTATACTTCAGTCCCGTTCTATCACTCCTTGATGTACGGTAGGTGTAGACGACATTTCTGCGGGGGTTGGCTTGCACAGAGTGCATAAACAAGTCCAAAGCGACGTCACCGTCTGCACGGACGCTGACCACGCGCGCCGCCACCAGACCGAGTCGTTGTTTTGGTCGTGGTACTCGGCGTCACCCCACGTGCATGCCGATATTGGACCATTCGGTACGGCAAATTCGGCTCATGGTGAATTACTAATATACTGTGTATATGCCGAAAGCGCAGCCGTGTCCAATTATCCCCAATTACGAATGATCAAACACCGAAATAACGAGGATTTACTGTGTATGTGTTTGTCTTTTTAGGGCAGAGTTGATTTGGCGAATGCGTTGCGTTTCTGGCCATTAGCACGGTCGGCTACGTACGGTAGCCAACCGTGCTAATGGGTATTGTTGCTGCTATACATTTCCGTGTGATGGTGCGAAAGCAGTTCAACATACATACATTATATTATATACGTTTCCTTTTAAAGCCACGGCGTTATTGACAAATGTGTTGAGTTTTTTTTATTTGAGTCATTTAATTGATTTGTATGAGTCGGGGGGGGGAGGGTAGCCCTTTCCCTACCCACCACCCACCACCTTCACGTGTATATTGGGGAGCAGTGCCAATTTACGTGGTCCGTGGTTTGGTGTTCGCAGCCGCTGTTGCACACAGGGGACAGAGAGAGAGAGTGAGAGTCTGTGATTTTCCATTTGTGTGTCATGTGTCCACATCTCCCGTGGTGTGGATCTGGGAAAACATAATCATAAAACTCTTTTTATTTTACCAGGTAAGGCCCACTGAGCTATGTAGCTCTTTTTCAGAAGCGACCTGGCAATCACAAATGATAGCTCAACGAAGTGGCTTATATACTCTTAACGCATGTTTCTAAATGTGGAGGGAAAAACCGGAGGGCCCGGAGAAAAATCAATGTGACCAAGGGAAGGTCACTGCAAACTCCAAATATACACGAGGCACCACGGTCGGGATCGAATCCACAACCTCCTGTGTAGCAGGCGAGATAGTTAACGTCTCGCCACCGTGGCACTGAGCAAGTCTTTTCCAACCGTCTAACGACTCAAAACACTATTATCTTAGCTCTTTCGGTAAGAATATCAATTACTACAGTCACGAAAGCTTTAAATCAAAAGACTCAAAACACTCTTGCCTAATATCACTAACATTTTTAAGTGTACAACATTTTCTTTAAAATTATGTTTAAATAAGTCACGGACAATTACACACAAGTGCTTGTGCGTAATAATTCCACAACGACTTTCATGGCTGATTCGGCTTTAAAATGTAAACATGCATGCAATGAATGCTTAAACTCCTATTAACCGAATTCCTATTATCCGATACAGCTATTATTTAGACGCGCAAACTAAACTTTCACAACATCCGGAGGAGCCGAAGAAAAATCCACGTTTCCACGGAAACAGAGACACACAAACTCCAAATATGCAGGCGTCAGGGTCGGGATCGAACCCCACGATCTGCTGTATACCAGGCGAGGTAGTTAAAATCTCGCCGCCGCGTTAATCACGCAGCAACAGCATGCCGATCCCATCAGCACCACCACCCCTCCTCCCCGCTTCATCCACGCACGCACGGCCGCCATACACTCAGGGTCACACACTTCAAACGGCACCGACTGCCCTATCTGTATCACTCTATCTGTGTATCTCCCTCCCGGTCTTCCCCCTGCCAGCTCATCCGCCTCTCCCACAACCCATGCCTCCACCCACGGGTGCAAGTAAAGGATGTGGAAGCGAACAGCTTGATCCAGACCACCCCCATTCCCCCCGAGAGACCGACCACTTAGCCACAGCACTTCACCGGACACTTGTATTCACGCTTTTCACTTGTCACGGCATGTGTAGTGGGTCCAACTGAGTCGCAGACGTTGTTCCTTTTAGAGGCAACACTTTTATTTGTAACACCGTGACACGAAGGGGCAACTGCCCCTTTACCAGACTGCAGCGAGTTACTGCTGCGAAGGGTCGGACCCTCACTCGGGTCTCCGACCACGTGGTTGCCTCGTAGGACGAAGAGCTTCAGCTTGAGACGTAGAGCTTCCCGCTTCCAAATGTTGAGCTTCCAGCCTGTAGAATGAAACGACCCCGGTCCCTCTCAGGGACCCGCCTCATATCCCTCTCCGGGCAGGGCCACTCCGCCCTTGGCCCCGCCCGCCTTCCAGAACATTCTCGTTCCCTCTCGATCCTTCTCAAGAGCTCTCTCCAGACACGTGACCACCCACTAGTCCCCCCACCTGGGGCCCCCTGTGTGGACATTCCGGATCATGTGTCTACGGGTTCAACCAGAGTGCCACGGCCCGGGGCAACCCTGCCCCTGGGCTGACACTCACCCCCTCCCGCTCGTGGGAACCGCCACCACACGCTGTGCGTGGTGCCCACACTATCCCAGTGTTCACCAAGTCCCGCTAGGGCTGGTGTTACACACAGCCACCCACACGGTGCTGTCCACACTAGGGCTGGTGTTACACACAGCCACCCACACGGTGCTGTCCACGCTAGGGCTGGTGTCACACACAGCCACCCACACGGTTCTGTCCACGCTAGGGCTGGTGTTACACACAGCCACCCACACGGTGCTGTCCACGCTAGGGCTGGTGTCACACACAGCCACCCACACGGTTCTGTCCACGCTAGGGCTGGTGTTACACACAGCCACCCACACGGTTCTGTCCACGCTAGGGCTGGTACTACACACAGCCACCCACACGGTGCTGTCCACGCTAGGGCTGGTGTTACACACAGCCACCCACACGGTGCTGTCCACGCTAGGGCTGGTGTTACACACAGCCACCCACACGGTTCTGTCCACGCTAGGGCTGGTACTACACACAGCCACACACACGGTGCTGTCCACGCTAGGGCTGGTGTTACACACAGCCACACACACGGTGCTGTCCACGCTAGGGCTGGTGTTACACACAGCCACCCACACGGTGCTGTCCACGCTAGGGCTGGTGCTACACACAGCCACCCACACGGTGCTATCCCCGCTAGGGCTGGTGTCACACACAGCCACCCTCACGGTGCTGTCCACACTAGGGCTGGTACTACACACAGCCACACACACGGTGATGTCCACGCTAGGGCTGGTGTCACACACAGCCACCCACACGGTGCTGTCCACGCTAGGGCTGGTGTTACACACAGCCACCCTCACGGTGCTGTCCACGCTGGGGCTGGTACTACACACAGCCACCCACACGGTGCTGTCCACGCTAGGGCTGGTGTTACACACAGCCACCCACACGGTGCTGTCCACGCTGGGGCTGGTACTACACACAGCCACCCACACGGTGCTGTCCACGCTAGGGCTGGTGTTACACACAGCCACCCACACGGTGCTGTCCACGCTAGGGCTGGTACTACACACAGCCACCCTCACGGTGCTGTCCACGATGTAGGAACATCGAACGGCACGAACCCTTCCAGGCTGGCACCATACAGTGACATCCCAGATGTCACTACACATGCGCAAACTGTGCCTGTCCATGCAATTGTCAGATCACAACGGCATAAATAACACTTTTCGCCAAGTTACCGATGACAGCTCCGAGGTGTTTACGGATTGCTGCTGCGTTATGACGACACTACTCGACTGTTGGGCATTGTCAATAAATTACCATACATTACGCTTGCCGTGTTTCATACGTAGAGTGTAACAAGATTGTGCTTATTAAACAGTCCACTGCGCCACGGAGAATGTCAGTGGTGATCTGATCCTAAAACTAAACTATTTATGAAACTTTTTTTATTTTACCAGGTAAAGCACACTGAGCTATATAGCTCAAATGATAGCTCAACGAAGTGGCTTATCACGTGGACATTTATAGCAGCCAAATACTCTAAACGCGTGATGTCGATTCTAAATGCGGAGGGAAAAAACCAGAGGACACGGAGGAAAATTCACGCGTCCACGGGGGGAACATGCAAAATACAAACATATAGGCGTCAGGGTCGGGATCAAACCCACGATCTCCTGTATACCAGGCAAGTTAGTTAACATCTCGCCTGTGCATCGACCTGCGTTAACCAGGTCGAACAATCCCCATGACCACAATGGCATGGAATGCCTTCATCCAACAGTGTAATGACTGGACTAATAAGTTATTACTTTTAATAATTATTAAACGGACATTCCAAAATAGTGAGAAGCATATCCCTCATTCCACTGATTAACATCACGTTCTCTATTCGAACTACAGGCCATCACCCATACACCAATTCGCTCTATACTCTTTGGTTCTTTTGGTAAATTGTATTCATGAAATGGCTTGCCAGCCTTAATGCAGGGTTAAACATTCACAGCAAAGTCAGACTCATAATCTTTATTTAGACTGGAGGAATCCGATGATCTATGAAGCTCTTTTTCAGTTATGTCCAGTAAGTAAAAGTTCAGTTTGACAAAGTAAAATAACACAACACGCCAGTGTAAGAAGTAAGACGGTAAACCCTCTTCATAAAGGCAGGGTATAAACAATGCACGAAGGGCGGCAATGATGTCAAGACAAATCTCAACGCGTACCGTGGTATTTGAAAATGTGTCAAGTTATTTGAACGAGTGAATTCTAGCACACGCCTGTAATCCAGCACTTTGAAGGGGGTTAGTGGCCAGGGCAAATATCATTACTGTACAGTCCTGCACTTGCATATGGGGGAATGCTGCGTTGGTGTCGTGGCTAGCACAACTGGAATTGCAATCCTCGTCACGGTTCGACTCCATCTCCTGATGCGGCAGCTGAAACAATGGGGCAACTTTATTCAATGCACCGCCTGTCCACCCAGCAGTTACAAATCGGTAGGTCACAGTCAGTCGACTGGCAGGTGGCGTAAGGTGAGGTAAAGTGTGGGTACTCCCACACCTGCTAAGGGAGGCTCTCGAGAGCTCCCTCCAGTGGAGACCCCTTCCACCAGCAGTGGCATGAGCAAGGAATTTCAGTGCCGCGCCTTTACGATTTGCAGTGCTTGAGTAAAACACCCAACTCGCATGGTTCTAGACGGCCAGTCGACCGCAGGTGTACGTTGCACACCTATCCGAACGTATCTTGTCGGGCGTATTCTCCAAGCATATACTAAATAGGGCTATACCAAAATAAATACACTGAAAATAAGTATTTTCTTTTCCGGGGCACTCTTGTATCATCCACAAACAACATCGATTTAAAAAAAAAAAAACCCTCGACCCAAATCCTCCAAACAATTCCCGGCAGAAAGTTAGTCTTTATAGCCTGGTGGGGAAAGGGCAATAATGTAACGTTAGACGTGTCGGCATTGTGGGCCACCTCCATGAGGCATCACTGAGGGCTATGATGCAATAGTGCGGTAACATATGAACACAATGTATATTTAATAGGCCTATACGATCAAGCAGCTTGTTCCCTTAATTTATGGATCAGATCATGAAAAAAACCGAATGGAGAAGAAATGCCTCTTGTCAATTTCGCACATAATTGGAAGATACTACAGTATTCAGGCATAATATAATCTGCTGATCAATTCTCATCATCCGTCATATAAATCGCAAAGCACACAGTTCAATCGACGCTAAATATATTTTAGGCCTAATAATCTACAAAATGTTTCATCTCCCATCGATTCCACCAATGGGGGCACATTCATGAAACGCGTATGCACACTCTCCTCTGGCATCAGACGCAAGCATGCAAAGTCTGCTTTGCTAATCGCCACTGGCGCAAAGGTTAGCGAGCAAATATGAACATTGACCCCGTCCCCGCCACTTCAAAACGATGGCACTCTCATCCGGCCCAAAAAGGGGCAGATCAAATAAGCTGCCACCGTATCGGCGTCGGCTGCTTGTCT